ACAGATCACAGAAGCCCGGTTTGATAACTACAGAGCCTTATAATGCAGTAGCATTTCCAAACAAGAGGCATTAGGAACTCCTAACCTAGAAAGCAGAGCAACAACGTCCAACGATGAAAGAATAAGAGCCAAAAAAGATTTAACCTTCCGAGTGGAAAGCCGATGGTGAAAGAAAATAAGGGAAGTCGAGTCTTGCTCTGGCACAATTGAGCGGTTAATTCGTGTTGTAGGACAAATTCTTAACTTATTCCAATTTTCTAATGGTAGAGCCTCGACAAACAATGTGCCCCAGATTTGGACAAAGGTCAAAACCTCGATCATGAAGTAAGGGTAGAAATTAAGTGGTGGGGATTGGGCAAATAGGAGCAGAAAGGGAACGGCACTACTCACAGATCTTTCGCCACCGGTGAGCTCATTACTGTTGTGTTCAGAGTGGATATGCGAGGCGGATAGAGCCGATGAGGACTGGTCAATCTGCTCCCATCGACCCGCAATGTCGAGAGCCATGTCAGCCTTTATCTTCACCGGAATGGCCGTCGAAAGTAGCGTTGTCTCGTAGAATTCACGCACTTCTATAACACAGCCAGTTACTTCAGTCACTCTCTTTGTCTGAGAGTTAGTAACGCTGTGATAAAGAGTGACTTTTAAATAATTGCTACGAACAATGGAAAAGGTATTCAGAGGTTTTGCTTCAATTGTGCTGCCAAAATCCCATTTTATAGCAACACTGTGCTACAAACGAATCGCACCCGAAAATAAAGAGAAAAATCGGATATTATGGATAAAATGACAAAAGTACACTTTTAACCCCAGTTATGTTTCATTAAATTAAATTATTAAATGTATGAGTTGTAGTAAGATTCTGTCGTGACGGATTTTCGACTCTATTGCTTAAAACTAGAATGTTGCCTGAATGTACATCATTCTGTCTGTCATTTTTGTGACAGTAAAAGTGGAAAATAAATTTCCTTTCTATCAAGTAAGGAAAGTTACACACACAACACTAGTCAATTTCTTTTGTAAAAAAGTTAATTTTCAACCGGACAAAGCTGCAGGATGCAATTCAACACGGACATTATTATTGGGTTTAGGGGACAATCTTATAAGGGGCAGTACAGTATTACTGCCATCGAAGTCAGCACCGTAGTGAGGGTGGCATCTGGTCCTATTTTTCATACGTACAAAGTCAGAAGTTCCTGTTTCACTAAAGTAGAGTTGGACCAGAACACTAAACTTTGTGTATTCGATTGCCATTGGAACATTGAGATTCATAACCCACCAAAGGAAAGTGTGCACACCATTGTGCTTTAATCAACGCCATTAAAGAAAAGTCGTGCTATAGACCTACGCAAGACGTACTGGATGGTAGACCAAAATGGGCTTCTTTTACCAAACTGCTAGGAAGAAGTACTGACGATGATACCCGTGAAACTAGCTTCAACAGATCATCCATCACATAATTGTTCTCTTATTGTTTGCATAATAGAAAGGCAACCGTTTCGCACTCCACACGGTTATTTCATAGTCCAGAATCCTACAGACATCTGATTGGCTGACTAAAAAATGAGGCAGATAATTGGGTGAGCATGAGCAAGTGTCACTTGAAACTTGCCACAATTGAGACAAAACGTCAAGATTTTCCTATAGGTCCTCAGTTGACAAATGATTTTATGGGAAGCACAGAGTTGATTTGCTCATGATTAGACATTTAACAAGGTCCATGAGTTCGACCACCTAGCACTTGAGTAGCAACCCAAAATTCTCGGTAGACTTGAAAAAGACCTGCTGTATTTCACGACTTTAAGCCCTTTTGAGAGACTTGAAGGCTAGCGGTTGGCATCATGCACAACAATGTGTAGAAGAGTGGTGATTGCGGCCCACATTGGCTGATCCCGATGACTGGCGCATGGAACGCTACCAAGCCAATCCTGGTCAAGTGTGGCCATCAATCCACGAATTCCTTACAAGTACTTAGTTTGTGACTCACATTCCCATCTAAAAAACTGCTTTTTCGGAACATCGATAACAACGTTGAATCGAGTCTTCTCTTGTGCAATCGGATCGAGCATCAAAGAAATGTCGTGATGCGTGTGAAACTTCATTCTTTTATGGTAAACATTTTGAAAATGAGTGTTGCGGCAAGCATGATTAAACACATCTTTTGCTAATACTTTATCAATGAATGTTTTGTATACGCAAACAGTTGAACAAAGGAAGTGCATGAATTTCTAGGAATAGCGAGCATACGCACCTAGATAAGCGTGGTAGAAGTGATTTTGTACAACCTCGACTACACGATCAAGAGCAGCTATCAACTCTCTGTCAGTCCGTTTGTCCAAACCATCTCGAAAGGCTGTAATTTCTCTCAGGACCCGTTCTGCACCTGGAAAGGTATTCAGAGTCGATAAGAACCATGTAGAGATCTCAAATTAAAGCTTCCTATGCTTTAGTAGCAGCAAAAGAAAAAGATATGGGAGACCTCAATGAGTCTTTGAAATGTCATGAGTCAACCATAAACTCACGCATACATTCCCTGCAGCTTTACTTATACATACTTTGACAGTACAAGACAGCGCATTTAAGTTGACCTCCTCAGCCTGAAGATCAAGAAAGCATAGTCATTCGTTTAGTGGAATGCAATTTACTTTTTCTAAAAGAACAAAGTCATTTTGTCTGTCAGCTCTGTGGTTTTAATTAATGCGAAACCAGCCAGCAATGCAAATCAACAAGCTCCTTATGGAACATTTGATTAAATAATTTACCTCTAGTCTTGAAAAGCTCTCTTAACGTTTCAGAGTTCCTTTGGAATGGTTAGAATGTGGTGTGATTCCCCAAATAGCATTTGAGGCGTGGCAAATGCCATTGAATTTATGCGCATGCGGGAAGTACAGCCAACTTTGCCGGAAGGCAGTCATGCCGTCACAATGAGTGCGCCTCAAACTATGTTCGCACAAGCAAAGCAACCAGGTCACTAAACACGATCAGTCCTTGGACACTGTAGACCACACACTGACGACGGCACGCATGTCGGTCATGATCAATGCTGATACGTCAATCACGTCTGTAGAATATATAGTTCGAAACTATTTGGACAAGCAAAGAGATTAGCCTTACAATGCATCTGCAAAGAATGTGAAATTGAAACTATACTTGGTAATACGCTGTAACGAACCCATACGGCAAATCCATTAAAAGGCCAAAGCCCTATTTACAAGACCAGTGCTCAAAGGCTGGTCACTACTTTGAACAAAATGGCAAACAAATGTACGAGCCTAAATGAGACAAAACTTAAGGAAAGGTTCTGATCTTTTGATCCTTGTTTTTTT